CGGGTGTAAACAAAGCCCCCCCCCCCCCAGCTTACAGACGGTGTATTCAACAAGGCCGTCGCCCCCCCCCCCCTCTCCAGCTTACAGACGGTGTATTTAAAAATGCCGAAATATAATAAAAACACAGAGGAATGAAGATGGCACCTTGATAGATAACGCAGTGCGGGAATTGGTGCACTGCTGTATATCAAACTGTGCCTGCTGAATATCAAACTGTGCCTGCTGTATATCAAACTGTGCCTGCTGTATATCAAACTGTGCCTGCTGTATATCAAACTGTGCCTGCTGTATATCAAACTGTGCCTGCTGTATATCAAACTGTGCCTGCTGTATATCAAACTGTGCCTGCTGTATATCAAATTGTGCCTGCTGTATATCAAACTGTGCCTGAAGTATATCAAACTGTGCTTGCTGTATATCAAACTGTGCCTGCTGTATATCAAACTGTGCCTGCTGTATATCAAACTGTGCCTGCTGTATATCAAATTGTGTCTGCTGTATATCAAATTGTGCCTGCTGTATATCGAACTGTGCCTGCTGCATATCAAACTGTGCCTGGTGTATATCAAACTGTGCCTGCTGTATATCAAACTGTGCCTGCTGCATATCAAACTGTGCCTGCTGCATATCAAATTGTGCCTGCTGTATATCAAATTGTGCCTGGTGTATATCAAACTGTGCCTGCTGTATATCAAACTGTACCTGCTGCATATCAAACTGTGCCTGCTGCATATCAAATTGTGCCTGCTGTATATCAAAAAGTGCCTGCTGTATATCAAACTGTGCCTGGTGTATATCAAACTGTGCCTGCTGTATATCAAACTGTGCCTGCTGCATATCAAACTGTGCCTGGAGGAATGAAGATGGCACCTTGATAGATAACGCAGTGCGGGAATTGGTGCACTGCTGTATATCAAACTGTGCCTGCTGAATATCAAACTGTGCCTGCAGCATATCAAATTGTGCCTGGTGTATATCAAACTGTGCCTGGTGTATATCAAACTGTGCCTGCTGTATATCAAACTGTGCCTGCTGCATATCAAACTGTGCCTGCTGTATATCGAATTGTGCCTGCTGTATATTGAATTGTGCATGCTGTATATCATATTGTGCCTCCTGTATATCGAAGCAAACCTGCTGTATATCAAATTGTATTTACTGGATATCGAAGCAAACCTGTTGTATGTCAAATTTTGTCTGCTGTATATTGAACCAAACCTGCTGAATGTCAAATTGTGCCTGCTCTATTTTGAAGCGAACCTGCTGAATGTCAAATTGTGCCTGCTCTATTTTGAACCAAACCTGCTGAATGTCAAATTGTGCCTGCTCTATTTTGAAGCGAACCTGCTGTATGTCAAATTGTGCCTGCTCTATTTTGAACCAAACCTGCTGTATGTAAAATTGTACCTGCTGTATATCGAACCAAACCTGCTGTATTTTGAAGCAAACCTGCTGTATTTTGAAGCAAACCTGCCGTAAAAGCGACTCAAGCGGACGATTTCAATGACTCGATCAAATGTATTCTCCCTACTTTTTTTTATTCATTAATTAATCTTTAATTCAATTGTTTCGTACCAGTGCTAATCAACGCCAGAAAGCTCATACACATTTTTACCTCTAGTGTTTACGAAGCAACATCGCGGCCATTATTCGCAATCTCCGACAAGGACAAACATGTTTATTAAATCTCAGACATAAACGATCCCTGAAGTCAAGGGGTCGGGTAATCAACTTGCCAGGCATAAAACCCCCACTCCAAACTGCCATCGCAATTAATTAAGCTAGCCGACGGCCGATTTATCAAGGCCACCAAAACGTCTGGTTAAGTCTTAATTCTCCGCGCTTGTCTTATGTTTTTGTTGTTCTAATTAATGTAATGAAAATTATTTTTACAAGTTTAATTCAGTTTGGATATAAAATTCTTCTATTGATGATGGTTGTATGGATTACAAAGCGTGGATGGTTGTATGACAGATGGTTGTATGATGGTTGTATGACAGATGGTTGTATGGTGGATGGTTGTATGACAGATGGTTGTATGGTGGATGGTTGTTGTGGATGTATGGTGGATGGTTGTATGTATGGTGGATGGTTGTATGGTGGATGGTTGTATGGTGGATGGTTGTATGGTGGATGGTTGTATGACAGATGGTTGTATGGTGGATGGTTGTATGACAGATGGTTGTATGGTGGATGTTTTGTATGGATGGTTGTATGGTGGATGGTTGTATGGGATGGTTGTATGACGGATGGTTGTATGGTGGAGATGGTGGATGGTTGTATGGTGGATGGTTGTATGGTGGATGGTTGTATGTGGATGGTTGTATGGTGGATGGATGGTTGTATGGTGGATGGTTGTATGGTGGATTGTTGTATGGTTGGTGGATGGTTGTATGGTTGTATGGTGGATAGTTGTATGACGGATGGTTGTATGGTGGATGGTTGTATGGATGGTGATGGTTGTATGGTGGATGGTTGTATGGTGGATGGTTGTATGGTGGATGGTTGTGGTGTATGGATGGTTGTATGGATGGTTGTATGGTGGATGGTTGTATGACAGATGGTTGTATGGTGGATGGTTGTATGGTGGATGGTTGTATGGTGGATGGTTGTATGGTGGATGGTTGTATGGTGGATGGTTGTATGACAGATGGTTGTATGTGGATGGTGGATAGTTGTATTGTATGATGGTGGATGGTTGTATGGTGGATGGTTGTATGGTGGATGGTTGTATGGTGGATGGTTGTATGACAGATGGTTGTATGGTGGATGGTTGTATGGTGGATGGTTGTATGGTGGATGGTTGTATGACAGATGGTTGTATGGTGGATGGTTGTATGGTGGATGGTTGTATGGTGGATAGTTGTATGGTGGATGGTTGTATGGTGGATGGTTGTATGGTGGATGGTTGTATGACAGATGGTTGTATGGTGGATGGTTGTATGGTGGATGGTTGTATGGTGGATGGTTGTATGGTGGATAGTTGTATGCGGATGGTTGTATGGTGGATGGTTGTATGGTGGATGGTTGTATGGTGGATAGTTGTATGACAGATGGTTGTATGGTGGATGGTTGTATGGTGGATGGTTGTATGACAGATGGTTGTATGGTGGATGGTTGTATGGTGGATAGTTGTATGGTGGATGGTTGTATGGTGGATGGTTGTATGACAGATGGTTGTATGGTGGATGGTTGTATGATGGATGGTTGTATGGTTGTATGACAGATGGTTGTATGGTGGATGGTTGTATGGTGGATGGTTGTATGGTGGATGGTTGTATGGTGGATGGTTGTATGGTGGATGGTTGTATGGTGGATGGTTGTATGGTGGATGGTTGTATGACGGATGGTTGTATGGTGGATAGTTGTATGGTGGATGGTTGTATGGTGGATAGTTGTATGGTGGATGGTTGTATGGTGGATGGTTGTATGGTGGATTGTATGGTGGATAGTTGTATGACAGATGGTTGTATGGTGGATAGTTGTATGACGGATGGTTGTATGGTGGATAGTTGTATGACGGATGGTTGTATGACAGATGGTTGTATGGTGGATAGTTGTATGACGGATGGTTGTATGGTGGATAGGTTGTATGGTGGATGGTTGTATGGTGGATGGTTGTATGGTTGTATGATGGTTGTATGATGGATGGTTGTATGGTGGATAGTTGTATGGTGGATGGTTGTATGGTGGATAGTTGTATGGTGGATAGTTGTATGGTGGATAGTTGTATTGATATGTATGGTGGATAGTTGTATGGTGGATGGTTGTATGGTGGATGGTTGTATGGTGGATGGTTGTATGGTGGATGGTTGTATGGTGGATGGTTGTATGGTGGATAGTTGTATGACGGATGGTTGTATGGTGGATAGTTGTATGGTGGATGGTTGTATGGTGGATGGTTGTATGACGGATGGTTGTATGACAGATGGTTGTATGGACAGATGGTTGTATGGTGGATGGTTGTATGTGGATAGTTGTATGACAGATGGTTGTATGGTGGATAGTTGTATGACGGATGGTTGTATGGTGGATAGTTGTATGACAGATGGTTGTATGGTGGATAGTTGTATGACAGATGGTTGTATGGTGGATAGTTGTATGGTGGTTGTATGACAGATAGTTGTATGGTGGATGGTTGTATGGTGGATAGTTGTATGACAGATGGTTGTATGGTGGATGGTTGTATGACAGATGGTTGTATGGTGGATAGTTGTATGGTGGATAGTTGTATGGTGGATAGTTGTATGGTGGATGGTTGTATGGTGGATGGTTGTATGGTGGATGGTTGTATGGTGGATGGTTGTATGGTGGATAGTTGTATGGTGGATGGTTGTATGGTGGATAGTTGTATGTGGATAGTTGTATGGTGGATAGTTGTATGACAGATAGTTGTATGACAGATAGTTGTATGGTGGATAGTTGTATGGTGGATGGTTGTATGATGGATGGTTGTATGACAGATAGTTGTATGACAGATGGTTGTATGGTGGATGGTTGTATGGTGGATGGTTGTATGGTGGATAGGTTGTATGGTGGATGGTTGTATGGTGGATGGTTGTATGACAGATGGTTGTATGGTGGATGGTTGTATGACAGATGGTTGTATGTGGATGGTTGTATGGTGGATGGTTGTATGGTGGATGGTTGTATGGTGGATGGTTTGGATGGTTGTATGACGGATGGTTGTATGACAGATGGTTGTATGACAGATGGTTGTATGTGGATGGTTGTATGACAGATGGTTGTATGGTGGATGGTTGTATGACAGATGGTTGTATGGATGGTTGTATGACGGATGGTTGTATGACGGATGGTTGTATGGTGGATGGTTGTATGACAGATGGTTGTATGACAGATGGTTGTATGACAGATGGTTGTATGACGGATGGTTGTATGACGGATGGTTGTATGACGGATGGTTGTATGGTGGATGGTTGTATGACGGATGGTTGTATGACGGATGGTTGTATGACGGATAGTTGTATGACAGATGGTTGTATGGTGGAATGGTTGTATGGTGGATAGATGTAGACAGTCATGTAATTAGATGTAGACAGTCAGGTAATTAGATGTAGAAAGGCAGCTAATTAGATGTAGACAGTTAGGTAATTAGATATAGCCAGTCAGGTAATTAGATGTAGACAGTCAGGTAATTAGATGTAGACAGGTAATTAGATGTAGAAAGGCAGGTAATTAGATGTAGACAGTCAGGTAATTAGATGTAGAAAGGCAGATAATTAGATGTAGCCAGTCAGGTAATTAGACGTAGCCAGTCAGGTAATTAGATTTAGACAGTCAGCTAATTAGATGTAGACAGTCAGGTAATTAGATTTAGACAGTCAGCTAATTAGATGTAGACTGTCAGGTAATTAGATGTAGAAAGGCAGGTAATTAGATGTAGCCAGTCAGGTAATTAGATGTAGCCAGTCAGGTAATTAGATGTAGACAGTCAGGTAATTAGATGTAGCCAGTCGGGTAATTAGATGTAGACAGTCAGGTAATTAGATGTAGACAGTCAGGTAATTAGATGTAGACAGTCAGGTAATTAGATGTAGCCAGTCGGGTAATTAGATGTAGACAGTTAGGTAATTAGATGTAGAAAGGCAGGTAATTAGATGTAGACAGTCAGGTAATTAGATGTAGCCAGTCAGGTAATTAGATGTAGACAGTCAGGTAATTAGATGTAGCCAGTCGGGTAATTAGATGTAGACAGTTAGGTAATTAGATGTAGACAGGCAGGTAATTAGATGTAGCCAGTCGGGTAATTAGATGTAGACAGTCAGGTAATTAGATGTAGAAAGGCAGGTAATTAGATGTAGACAGTCAGGTAATTA